CCATCACCACCTCCTGATAATAGGCCTCTATCATGAGCTAATAAGCATGTTCTGAATACAACAAGTAGTAGTAGTAGAACTACAAGAATAAGGACGTATGACTTGTATATTACATTGGACCATAGTGTTGTGTGCCCGTATGTAATGATGATGATGTTGGTGACTTTAATATCGTAACACACTCTCTACTTGCTTTTGCTTCTAGACTTGCTTTCTTCCTCTTATTCTTCTTAGTCCTCTTCCTAGCTTTTAATATATTATTAGATGATGATAATGACTCTTCTTCTTTTTGTTGTTGCTCATCCTCATCTGTAGTATTATCATAACTAGTAGTAGACTGATTAGATAGACCTAAGGCTCGTCATAGTCGAGACACCACCAGTATGATGATAATATTATTACTAATCTTAAAGAACTTGATAGTCTTGGACTTAGTCCTCATCATACCAAACGTTTTGGTGAAAGCAAGTATGTCTATGCTTATCTATTAAGCAAGTAGAAAGATGAGCCCCATTACTACTAGCATCATAATCATAGTCATTATATATTACCAATGATGTATTATTGAAACCTGCATACAGTTGTTGGGTACTCTCATTTACTGCTAGTGATAATATACGCCCTGGATTCGGATTAAACTGAATGATAATAATCATCATTTAAATTGATGAGTGTTATCATCATTAACATCATCATTGAAGTACCTTGATGCAGTAGAGACATACTATCTTCGTTCCTGATGATAATGATGGGGTATTATGATTATGATGATGATGTTCTAGTGATGTATCCTCCTTATCTAAGTAGATGTTTCAAGTATACTGTACGGTGGTGATATAATGATACTATTACTTGGTTCATACTTGATAGTATACCACAATTTAGTCACATCCCATACACGTAGTTCATTATCACCACCAGTGAATAAGAGATAATGATCATCATCAACATCATCACGCTCTTTTCCTTCTTGTTCTTCTTGTGGTGATAATGATTGCCGCATAGTGGTAGTATTGGTAGTATTATAATTATAGTCCACCTTACTATTACGTTTAATACTAGCCATACTTACTACTGGGCTTTTTTGTATTCTAGCATCAAGTAAGTTCCAATAAGTAGTATCATAGAATCGTATATGTCCATCTTGGAAACCTACTACTATTAATACCAGATGATTGTGGTTACCATCATCATTATGATCTCTAGTCGATGATGATGATAATGAAGGATAATAATACTTCATAGCCTCCATCTGAGTAATAATGTCATGTTTATGATGATATGGTTATTATTACACTGCATACTGTATCATTTACGAGAGTAGTAGTAGTAGATGGATCTTCATCATCATTATATGATAATGATGATGATGATACATCTCCTCCTCCTCCTACTCCTGCTGTAGCCCTCAACTCCATAAAGGGCCGCCCATGCTTTTCTCCTTCTTCTTCTTGTTGTTGTTGGTGTTCATGTATCCCTATTGTAGTCATTAGTCTGGTACTACTAGTAGTAGTACTAGTATTAGCATGAGAGGTTACATAATCTAGATACCCACCCTTCATAGATGCAGGAGCTGATAACGATTCTGAAAGGTATTATTATTATAATTCGTGCTAGTGGTGGTAATGAATAACACCATTATTATTACCAATAATATCACTAATTGTAGAAGGCCTCCTCCTAGATGGATCTAGCTTAGAGTTATTAATAGAATATTGATGATGATGATCGCTAATACTGACGAGTATTAGTACTACGATAATCTTTCCTATTCCCTACCTCCTTTCCTCTGGTGTACCTCGTGTTAATGGTGATAATAGTACAGTAAGAGTATCATTGGTATTAGGAGATGTCATAAGACTGTATTATTAGACAATAAGTAGGGTAATATGATATTATTATTACACTAATGTATGATTATGTGGTACTGGAGTCCATTCATCATGTATAGTATTCAATGGTTCAGATGATACTATAGCTACTTTCGCTCGAGGATCTGTATGTACCTGTATTAGTAGTACTATGCCGACAACACTACTACTACACTTATTAATAATACTACCATATGATAGTTATCTACCATACTCTTCCTGATGCCACTATTCCTTGGAGTATTATTGCTAGTAGGAAAATATGCCCATTTGGAACCAGTTATATAATATAAGGAACATGATGCAACTACTTCCCCTTGTCGGCCTATAATAGGATACTATTAATATACATTATAGTGTTATTATTATTACCCCATGCATATCTAGTAGCTATTATGGTATGACCATCAGATACTAGGAAGTTAGCTAGACTAGAAGGTAAGCTTAATGGAGTATCCTTATATGCTATCTCACACTCATGACGAATCTTTAATACCTAGTAGGAATACTAATAGTAATGTATACACCATCATCATTACTGTCTTCTCCATAGCCTTTCTTATTGCATTGGCATCATAATTCATTTTTTCATAACTGATCGTAGCGACAAGAGAATAATTTATAATTATGTAGTAGGTATTATTATTATTATTACGATTCATTAATAGATACAGGATTAGGACATAATTCTGTTAGGAATATAGCAAATGCTACTGCTGAATCTATTGCTGAATGTGCCATAGCAATATCAAATGCTATACCATGAACTAATCCTAATAATGTACGTTGTACCTAATAACGATGATACTGCTGTTGAAGAAGGGTTATTGAATAATAATACCCGTTCGAATCCTCCAATAACACCATTATGCATGAATATAAACTTACCACAACGGAATGGATGACATAAAGATTGCCCAACTGGGGTTAAAGGACCAGCAGCTCTCACCTACTAATATATAATAATAAGGTGTTGATAATAATAATACATGAGCAAATATAAGACGAGTCCTGATCCTATCACTTAGTTGGGCTAGATTACTATCATTCCATGCTGGAGTACCTGATACTATAATAATACTTTCACATTACATGTAATATTACTCGATACGAATACACAAGCTCCTCCTTCTTCTTCTCCTTCTTGATGGTGAGTAATATTATCATAATAATCATACCATCCAATACCATACCCATCACCATTAAGGAATGCTTGTTTATAGCTTTCATGTGGTACTCTTCCTGGTGGTAACTGTTGCCTCTCTTGGCATGCATATCTATTAATATACTCAATGAGTAGTAGAATATGTAGTAGTATATATTACGACTGCCGTATAATACTCATGTTAGGACGTGTGGTTACATCTGATAATAATACGGCTTCATCAGCTGATATTAATGCGGTAAGTCGACACATAATAAAATTGGAAGTCTAATTCACCATCTGTCGCCACCTCGAGTTCAAGTATCCTTACAACATGACCATTATTCTGGGCGAGCGCGAACAGCAACGGAAGGGTGTTTGTTGTTGATGTTGGTGTTGTATAATAATAATACACTCCACATTGGTATGTTATAATGGGATTGACTATAATGTATTGAGGGATTAGCAGCAGTTGTACTTGCGGTTTTGGACTACTTTATAGAATGCATTCTAATAGGTTGTTAGTACTGCTTTTATTAATGAAAGCACAACGTGTCTCTACTACTGCAGTAGAGGGAACTAGTAATACTGCTATATTGGATACTCATACCACACCATCGTCACATTATTATCATCCAGCTCTGTCTTTCTATTGTACACCTCCAACACCAGGTTAGACATTACTACCCGTTACATTGTATATGTATATAGGTGATATATCGATATGTGAGCTTGACTCGATATGTAAGGCTAGATTAGCATTACTACAGTCTATTGATAAGAAGTTTAATAATACTACTAATGATAATGGAGGAGGAGAGACTAGTATAGATACTCAAGGTTATAATAAGTATTGTAGTATTAGAGTATTATTATTATTTAGGTAGCCTCTTCTGTGAGGCTGAGGCTACTAATGTGGTAATGTCTATACCTACATGTTTGATTAAGCATGCTGGTAGATCATCATCATCTGATTATGATAATGATATTATCAGTCATTATATGCTCAGATTAGCGTAATACTTAATACTACTACTGACATCATCATTATCATTGTAAGGTTTTGTCGATCGCCTGAGCTGAGTAGTTGGTTTATCAAGTGTGAGGAATTATTATTACAATGTATCTTACATCACTATGGTCATGCAGCTCTCAA